AAGACATTTATCTGACAAAGATTTTCAAAATTATAAATCAGCATCAATAAATAATTGTATTAAAAGTGAAGCAGATCTTATTTCACCAATACCAATAATATTGATAGAATTGTCGACTTGAATGTTTTGAAGAATTTAAAAAACTTTAGTTTTAAGGCACATCAAAATATTGGTTTCTAATCAAGTTTCAGAAGATAGATTACAAATTCTAAATTATTACGTATCGACTCAAATTTTGAGCAGACATTTTTTGTAGTTCTAAAAAATAAGCAATGATTACTATTTTATCACGTGATCTAAATATAGCAATTGTATTGGTAGATTTTTTTTTTTTTAAAAATGGAGGGGGAATATTTTTATTTTTATTCATTTCGAAATCATGATACCAACTCCAAACTTGGATCACATATCTTCTAAAGATTACGAAAACGTATATGAACCTGCCGGTAGGCCTCCCTTTTTAATAAAAAAAAAATAAAAGATAATAATAAAATAAAACAAATGAAACGATAATCAAGCAAATTTAAAAAATCATTTGTCAGAGGATACATTTTTGTTACTTGATGCACTTGAAAAAGATGCGGAACTTTTAAGAAATGAAATCGCACCTTGTATAAGTTTAGAAATCGGGTACGCTTTTTAAAGAGATCTTGTGTAAGAATATAATATCGAATGTGTAAAAAAATGTTTCTCATTAGGTCAGGAACTGGGTGCGTATCAACGTTCCTTGGGAAGATACTTGGCGACGGCAAAGCACGTGGGTTTTTTTTTTTTAGCAAGATCTCTTTCATTTTTACAAAAACGTAATATAAATACTTTTTGATCAAAATCATCAAATTACGCGTAATTTTAAGTGCTGCTTTGTACAGATATAAATCCATATGCCAGTTATATCACTATTAAGACAGGATACAACAATTCGGTACTTTCACCTAACTTTAATGAAATGAATATTTCATCCAATTTCTTTACTAAAACCAAAAGCAGGTTCAATTAGAGTCGATTACCACCAACTTAGCAAATGGTCTTTTACCAAGACTTTATCATTCCGTTGATATAATATGTTGTAATCCACCTTATGTGGTTACAACTTCTGAAGAATTATATTCATCAAAAAGTGTTATCGAGAGAGCATGGGCTGGTGGAATTGATGGGAGAGAAGTGATCGATAAGATGTTACCATTAGTTGATGTGAAGTATATCTTTACATTTTACTTTATCCATTTTTATGATTAGCCAATTAAATTTGAAATTTTTTTATTACTGCAGGAATTATTATCAGATAAAGGTGTATTTTACCTTCTATTAATCAGTGAAAATAAACCAAATGAAATTCGCGAAACGATGAAAAATGATTATAATTTACAATCAAAGGTAAATTTATACCTAACCTTAGAAATTCAGCTTACAATAATAATAATAATATTTCAAAGGTTGTACTATCGCGTTTAGCAGGAAGAGAAAAACAATCGATCTTGAGATTCTGGAGAGATATCCGGCAATAGGTTCGAAAGAAATCAAATCTTTTAAAACTTTTGAAAGCTAAAATAACATAAATTCCTCTAATGTGTTCTATATCATTAATTAATGTATAATCCTTCCAAATTTTTACTAATATATATATATATATGAAGTTTCTTTAAAATAAAAATCTTGTTTAATTCTATTCTTTAAATTCATTATGAAAACAATCTATGCAGTCAGTTATATAAACGATTAAAATCCTTGAAATCATAATATTCTACCCGAAAATGGTAATATACTATCTGCGTGATTTCAAATTTACAATAATACAAGAAGATAGAAAAACAAGAGTATAATTAATTAAACCTAATAGACTAGAAAGAAATGCCAAAAATGTCAATTAAAAAAAAAAAAACTTTTTTTTCGTGCCATAAAATTTGAGAGGAATTACATAAAAAAAAAGAGAGAGAGAAGGTAGAAAGTTAAACAAACTTTTCTGTATCAAACCTTGCATAAAACCATTATGGGGTAATCCATAGAAATAATGCTTCAAACAAGAAGATTCGCGTCTTTATAATAATCATCATCATAATCAAACCTAAATCATTAAGTGAAAAAGAGTAGAACTATGTGGTTTCATCCTTCATTTCTGACGTCGACGGGAAATCAGGAGATCTAGACCGAGATTTAGGATGACCATTAACTTGTTCTAACCTTCTATGGCGTTCAGAAGATGAACGAGAATATGACCTTGAACGGGAATATCTATTAGAACGCCTTTTATCCTCCTCATCGTCATATCTTCTATAATCTACTCTGGATCTACTACGATTGCGAATATGACCAGGACCAGGACCAGGACTAGGACTACGTCTAAATAAAGAAATTAATTTAGTTTTTTTTATTTTTTGATAGCAAATAAAATAAACGCAATTGACAAACCTAGGTCTGTAAGAATTTTTCGGTACTCCATATCTTCCTCGTCTAATCGGAGAATATCTATATAAAATAGAATATTTTAATACCCAAGAATTTGAATAACGGGAAGACTCATGGATCAAAAGTTTACCTGTTATCTTTACCTCTCATTTCTCGAGGAGCTAGATGTTGAATTAAAATAAAAATAAAAAATATCTGAAATAAGCAAACTCGGTAAAATTACAATGATACTGAAATTTAAAAGAAAGGAGTCTTCACTTTTTCTAGATCCACGCGCAAATTCCACGGTTAACTCACGTCCATGCAATATAACAGTCCCGTGTCTATAAGCTTCATCGCAATCACGTTCATCATAGTATCTTGAGAAGGGGAAAGAAAAAAACCGCGATTTCTTGTCAAGGACCGATGGAAAAGTTTTTAAAAACATTCAATTCTTTTGGATCGAGAAAACTTGAATCTTTTAATCGACAGTAAGAAAACTTTGAATAATTAAGTCTTTAAGGATACTCTATGTACGCAAATCCTCTTGGTTCCCTGGTATAATAATCTCTTGGTATATAGACTAAATTAAAAGTTAAATAAAAAAGTTACAAACTAATTGATATTGAATTGATCGATATTTTTAGAATAATTTACCATCCTTAAGTCTTCCAAATTCTTTAAAAGCAGTTTCGAGATCTTCGATACTAAAGTTGTAAAAAATATTTATTAGCAGAACTTAGAAATTAAGAAAACACACTTTAATAGAACTCACGTTGTTCGTCGTGATAGTCCAGAAACGAACAACGAACGAGACATCCTGTCAGCATAGGAAGACGACATCTTTGATAGTCTGTCTGTTCTTGTAAAAGGTATCGATAATTATTAAACTTTAAAAAAATTATTGTGATCTAATAATTATATCATCAATATAATTGTTACACGACTATTTATACCTTTTTTTCATAGTTTTTTTTTTCACACGACACTTTTTTTTTCCTTGATGACAAAGTCAAAAAGCAATAGATCCGGCACTAATAACACTCATGTTTCCTTCATACCTTCCACCACGGCTAATAATACCACGCCTAAAAAAGAGCCAGATGTTATAGTATTCAATGATAGTTGTCTTAAAAAAGCATCAAAGGGTGGCTCAAATATTATTGAATGGAAATCATTTATGGTTCATTACCTTTATTCGTTTTTATGTAAAATAAAAAATAAATTTGAATTGTAATGTAATTATAATTTTAACTAAATGATTTATGAATTAGTCGGCTAAGATTTCTAAAATGAATGAAAAATCCCAAATATCATCGGCACCTAAAGTTATTAAAGAATTAGAAGAGGAGAGGTAAATTTGGTAAATTTGATTTCTTCGTTATTTAACAAATTTTTTTTTTTTTATTTGATTCTCGTATTTATATATATTTATTAATTACAGGATAAATAAAAAGAATGATAAAGAATTGGAGGAATTATTAAAAACCACTAAATTATTAGAGAAATATAGTAAGTTATACTCCATTGGCATACATATATATATATAATTATATACATTAATCAATACGTTCGTTTTTCGATGGATGTAATTAGCCGCCGAACAGTTAACAGGAAAAGATCGTAGGAAATATAACGAACGAAAAATGTTTGAATTGGGCGCCAAGGTAAGTTCTCGATAAAGATTATGTAAATACCTTTAATGTTAGAAACTTAACTTTAACATAAAAACGTATGATATGACAGCCAAAGAAAGGTATGAAAATTCCAACGCCAATTTCTTTAGGAATTCAATCAAAACGACAAGAGAGAGATCAACAAGAGCTCGAAGAGGTTAGTAAAACATTGCTTTGTATAACACTTCTCAAAAGGTAACATTCACCAAATGAGATTTATTATAATAAAGGCAAAAAATCTTGGACTTTATCATCAATCGATAAAACATAAATGGGCGTCATCATCATCAAAGCCACCACAAGTGCGAGATAAAGGTATCGGGATGGGTATAGGAAAAGTTAAAAATGGAATGTTAATGCTAAGTTCTAAAGATATTAAGCGTGTGCAAAATAGCGCAAGTGACCGTAAAAGTAGTAATAGGGGTGGATTAAAGAAACATGGTGGAGGTATTAAAAAGAAAAGGAATAAACCCAAAAAACGAAATAAATGATAGGAATTAAAGGAATTCAAAAAAATTTTGAAATAAAATACTTATTATAGAATTCAGATTAGCTTTAATAATCCATTTCTAATAGTCAAAAAAAATAGTTTGGACACAATAAACGTTTATTGCGACTAAGGTTGTTGAACGAAACTTAGAAGTTTAGCATGATAAAAATGGCAAAATTATTAATAAAAAATTAGCACCTCACTAATGTGTCCGATTGGCTAGTATAATTATTGCCAATAAAACATTTCCAGCAAAAATCACATGCACGTGATCGATATTTCCAAAATATATGACCGATTTTTATAGAAATTTTTTTTAAATAAAAACTTTGCTAAAAGCAGTATTTAAATAAAGTTAAAATTTATAAAATTTTAATTAAAAGACATTTAAAACCTATTTTTATCTCTAAGCAAACTTGTAGCATTCAAATATAAAAAGCATGTGTTAAGTTTTATTTAAAAAAAAAGAATTCGATAAATGAATCTAGATATAATCGTTAAAATCGATGTTAGTTTAAGTTAGTTTAGCGTTAATTATGCAGATTAGGTGGCTATTTATCACACAATATCACGCCCTACTATGTTTCATTAATCTGGGAACTTTGAACATTTTTTATACTAAAAATATTATTTGCCACCCTTATGTTTCACATAGTGTTCAAAAACGGTGCACAATCCAATTTAAATTTAATCTGTAGATATCCTAATCGTATCATTTTTTTTTCTACAAAATTTTATGGAACATGAGCGGGCAATTTAAACACTTGCTTATATTTGTTGTTTATATTTGGGACCGGGAAACTTCTAATAAAAGCTACCATTGATAATCCGGTTCGAACTAAAATGTATATTAAAATCGGTGGTAATCTTTATTAGAATCCATCTCCGATCTTTTTAAATTAATCGTTTATCCGTTATTTTTGTGAAATTCCTTAATTTTTGTTCATTTTAAAATGATTTGTAATCAAAAATTTTGATCTTTTCACGGAATACTTATTCTAGGGATTGGAATCGATTTCGATATTTAGAATCGATTTGAGAATCGATTTAATCGCGATTATCGTTTTTTCAAGATTCGACTCTAAGATTCGATTTTCGATTCCTATTAATCGAATATAATCGATTCATTTAGTTAGACACACTAAATAAATTAAATCCGGAAAGTAAAAATAAAATAATTAAATTAAAAAATAGGGGATATATATATGCAAATTAAAAAAATAATTAAAATAAAATTAAATATTAGAACGCTCGATTATAAAAAAAGATTTTAAAAGGTGAACATTAAACATTAAATAAAAAAAAAATAATTCTAAAAATAAAAACCCGCGATTATAAAATAATTTGTATTATATTTTTAATTTTCTGTTAATTATTATTTTTTTTTTTTATATCTGCAAACTTTTTTTTAACAAATTAAGAAAAAACTGTATAAATAAATTACATTAAAAAAAAAATAATAATTAATAAATAAATTATAAAATTTAAGAATTTAATTATTTAAAAATTAAAAAAATCAATTAATAAATTAGGGTTAGAGTTAAACGAGATTAGGGATAGTTTAGAGTTAGGGTTGGATTATTTATTTATAAAAAAACATCAATAAATTAATTGTATTACTTATTTTAAATTTTGATATGTTAAAACTTTAAAAAAAAATTATTCAAGTCATGTTAGCTAACCCCTGGGCATAAACCTTATACTAAAATCGATTTCGATTAATTCGATTTTTTAGAATCGATTCCAATCCCTAACTTATTCTATAACGAAAAAAAAAAAACGTAAACATTTTATTTACGTAACAAAATAATAATATTCTTTTCTAAAGATGTTAATATTTAACATTAAATATGATTTTACACATCCCACGGGTTCGGAAGGAAGTTTATATGAAGTTACGCGAAATTTACGCGTCCAATACAATTTGTAAAAATTTCAAAAATAATTTTCACAAACGTCGAGATTAGCTTTTTACGAATAATGGTATTTTTTTTTTTTTTTTTTACCATCATACCTCACATCAATTATACAGTCAGGTGCGCCCTCAATTATGTCGTACATCATGTAAACCCTTCCTAAATTGTGCACACGGTCTTAAAAATCCTCTAAATACATTTCATTGATTATCTATCTTAAGGATTCAATAGGATTATCAGACCTGAAAGTATCGTTCGTGATATCTGAAAAAAATGCCGATAATGTATTTATTTTGAAATTTTTTAATAACCAAATTTCAACCCTTAAAAGAGATATGAAATTTGTTCATTATATTAATTATTCTTGTTTTTTTTTTTTTATTTTTTTTTTTTATTTTATTCATAAATGGATTTTAAATCCTTCAATTAATAAATAATTCATTGTATAGTTAAATAAACTAATTCTTATGCAAACATAAATCGAGATTAATTTCCTTTCTTTAATGTGTAATTGAAGAATTTGGACAATATACTGTACATAACTTTGGTTTATTTAAAAAAAATAGCTGAAACATCAAGATCACTTATATCGATCCAAAACTTTTGGTAATATTAATAATCAAAGAGAAATCTATAGACTTCAAAAGTAAATTTGAACGGAACCATCAACTCATTTATAAAGATTTGATTTTCTAATTACGATTTATTTTACGATTTATACTTAAACAAAATACTTCGGCCCTACTACGAGACTGCAGCAGAAAGCTGGTACCCATAGGCTTACGAAATGTAAGCGCCTATGCTCCTTCCACGCACAGTACTATGCCGTTCCGATAATACCCAACCAGCCCTACCATGAGACTTCCAGAAAACTGGGTACCCACGGGATTACCAAAGATAAGCATGCCACGCCCCCACCCACGCGTAACATCATGCTGCCCCATAATATCCAAAAACAACAAAACAAAAAAAAAGCAAATAAAAGAGATAGACATACCCGAAAAAAATGACAACCAAAAAAAATATAACAACAAAAACAATAAAAAGCATGACATACCTCGTTCTTATCCAACGCAAAAAAACAAACAAAATAAAAGGAATGGCTTACCTTCTTACATAGCCCGCCCATTAAAAAATAAAACAAACAATAAATAGCAAATAAAGAAATGACATACCTTCCAACCTTACGTCAAAAACAACAAAATAAAAAAAAAAGCAAATAAAGGAATGGCTTACCTTCTTACCTAGCCCGCCTACCAAAAAAATAAAACAAACAAAAAAAAAAGCAAATAAAGAAATGACATACCTTCTTATCTTCCAACCCACTTGCCAAAAAAAAAAGAAAAAAAAAATAAGAAACAAAGCAAAATACATAATGTAAATGACTTACCTTCTTTCTGACCTTAACGTTCTTATCCAACCCGAGAGCTACAAAATAAAATAAAAAAAAAAAAAAGAGAGAAAGAAATGGTTTACCTTTTTACCTTCGCGTCCACACGTTAAAAGAATCTTTATTGTACCATAAGTTTCATATTAGAAGAAAGTTTTAGTATTCATATATATAGGCAAAAGTTTCGAGAAAGTTTATTATTCATCATCATATGTACCCCAGTATCACCAACAATTTTTTTCACCCCACGTGACGCTTGGCTGGCATTACGGCATTAAGGAATTAACCACGTAACGAATAAAAGGTGACAAATATGATTTCGCTCCCGAAAAAATTCTAAGTTCTGAGAATACTTATGAAAATAAAAAACGCGGAGGGTGTAACAGTGTGACAAATATTTCTATGTTAATAGTAATAAGACTTATCCAGAAAATCTTCTGAAATATCAATTTTAGATATATTTAACATAATTTATTTCTTAGAACTTTTCTTATTCAGGTTAATTTGTATTCTATTCAATGTTTTTTTTTTACTATAAATAATTTAACTTTTTTAGAAATTAGACATATCATTCTTAATTAATATTAATAAAAAAATATTCTACCTTTCACTTTTAAAAAGATTTGATATAGAAATTTTGAAATTAATCAAACAAAAAAAATTAAAAATTAAAAAACAAATTAATTTAGTAAAATCGCTTGTAAAAAGTAAAAAGTAAGTTATTTATTGATCTTTTTTTTTTATAATATAATATAAATTAAGATTAAATCATATAATAATATATAATTCAATAATTTGACTTTTTATAACTTGTAATATTATTTTATTATTCTTTTAAAATGATTTATTTATACTTAAACATAAATATTCCTATGTATCAAAATTTTATTTGAAGTAATGAAATAAGTAATATTAGATATCAATTTAGTATCTATAAAATAATCAATTTTTCAAAAAAAATAAATTTACTCAGATATTTCGTTTAAAGAAAATATTATACTTATAAAAAAAGAAATTTAAATAAATTATCATAATAAATAAATATATTTATATATTTATAAATATTTATTTTATTTATAATAATAATAATAATATATTATTATTTAATTTATATATTGTAAATGTAAATAATTTTTTTAAAAAAAAACATATTTGAAAAAAATTTGGATTATCTAACATTATTACTAAAATAAATCATAATGTGATATTGTAGTTATTAGTAATAAGATTGTTGCTTCATATATATCAAGAGCTAGTAAACTTATTGTATTATTAGAAAAAAGTTATTTTTTAATATTATATAAAACTATCATATTTTATCAGGTAAATATATAATTTTTTCTTCAATATAATAATAAATAAGAAAGGAACAATAATCTAGAAAATATCTAAAAATTATAGTAAATATTTAAAAGAAATAATATAGCTCTAACAAATATATATTGATAAAAAAACCATTTTTATAATGATAGTAAATAAAATGTTATTATAGCTTGCAGATAAGTAATCCTTCTATTTTTTTTTTTTAAAAAAAAATCTGTTATACAGATCTAAAAACTTTATTTTTTTTATTTAACCTTAAAGATACATTCTTTATAATACAAATATAACTTTTAAAACTAATAATATATATGATAAATATTAATTTAATCTGAAGAAATTCATAATAATTTAAATTCTATTAAAAATATAATTTGATAATTTGATACTGCACCTTAATTATAAATTTCTCTTTAACATATGATTTTTTTTTTAGGTTATAAAAAAGCTAGTAAAATACTTAAACTATATCAATATTTAACTCATTTTTCAAATTACTAAAATTAAAATCTTTGAAAGCTGAAATGAAATTATTAGAAATAATTATCACAAAAATTTTCATAAAGTTCTAATTACTATTACATTTAAAAATTATATTAATATTGTGAAAATACTTTAATATATTTTTACATTAACAGGAAATGATAATATAAGAATTAATAATAGTAGTAAAAATAATATTCTGATAAATTATATACTTAATATATATAATAATAGTTGTAAAATATTTTGTAAATATAATGTAAAAAGAATTAAAAAATGTAAAAAAATTGAAAGATATATAATATTTTTATAAATAGTTAAATATAAATAAATAAATAATCATTTTTGATTTATTAAACATTATCATTCTTTTATTTTAAATAAATAATGTATAAAATTTATAGATAATACAGTCAACTCTTGTTATAACGAACTCTATGTCCTAGACCTCAACTTTGCTATAAGGCTATAGTGAAGATTTTAAGAGATTTTATTGGTCAATTCGCTATAACAAGAGTATTTTTATTATATTTGTTCAAAAAATTCATTATATTAAGAGTTCGTTATATCAAGAGTTGACTGTAGTAATTATAGCCTATTCTTTATAATTGCTAACATTATATTTCTTATAGATATACTTGAAATAAATAAAATCTTATTAGAGGTTAATAATCACTTAAGAAAAGAATTTAGTGAAAATGGAGACATAAGTATATAATAAAATTTTTTTTTCTTTACTTTTTTATCTTTTTTAAAGATTATAACTATTATTATATTAAAATTATTAGATTTAGTTATAACTAAATATAGGCATTACAATTAAAAAAAATAGTGTAATTAAATTACAACTTGTGATGTAATTAAATTTTCTTATGTTGTAATTAAATTGTAACTTAATTAAGATTAGAAAATAATTATGAGGACTATTTTTAGTTATAATATAAATTATTTTATTAATAATATTAAAACAAAAAATGATAAATCAGTTGACATAAAAATGCATTATTGTAAATTGATATACAAAAAATATATTCAAAGGTTATATGATTAAAGAAGAAGTTATACCTTCTTCTAGGTAAACTTTTCAATTTATTTTTAAAGTTGAAAATATTTTGATTGATATTAAATCAAAGGTTTTACCAGCTCAAGATTATGGAAAGAAATCAAATTAATATTCAGAAGGGTTTATATTGATGCTGCATTATATACTTAAACTTACTTAATTATATCATAAGATGATAATATGAGTCAAATTGAATTAATAAATGTTCAAGTAAAAATAGAATATTAGGATATAGATAATTCTAATATTGTAAATATATTAAATAAAATATTAGAAAAAACTCTGAAAGACATTAAAACTTATATTCTATTTTCTTTATAGACTAAAAATTTAAAAGAGATTTGATTACAGTTAAAATTGTTAAATAAAACCTAGAGGTTTTACAAGTTACAGTTCCTGCTAAAAGTAATGGTGATGGGAATATTAAATAATATTTTAGTTACAGTTTCTCTGGTATTCTGATTTGACATATTTTAAATAGGCTGATTTAGGCAATATGATGTTATTTTTAATAAAATAAACAAAAAAACCTGATCTTAAATGTTATTTATTTATTTTAAACTTAATCTAAATTACTACTATACCAAATGCTATCGACATCTATTAAAGCAAATTGCGAAGTCATAAAATATCTTTGGGATAAAAATATTCATAATGCAAAGGAAATTTCCAACTGAACTAGAGTTCCTTTGAAAGATATGTTGTCATTTTACGAAAAAATGGCAATATTCCAGAAATTCATTGATCTGATTGCCCACAAAAATTAACTCCTGTGAAATGTTAGCACATTAAAATGATCATTAAGCATGATCATTTCACTACAGTTAGAGAACTGAAGGCTATATTAGAAGAAAATGATTCAGAATTAGAAATTAGTAAAACAATTATTCGTCGAGAACTTTCTAGGCTCAGTTATATAGCAGTTCTTTCATAAAAAGTTCTTCTTTTGACCCAAAGAGTGAAAAACATTTACTTATCTTGAATACAAGACTATTTGCAATACAATTGGAAAAGGATGATTTTTTCTGATGAAATAATAATCCAAATATTTTGTAACATAACCCTTGCATAGTCCTGTGATGGAAAACTGGTTTAACCTATGGTTAAGCATCCCTTTAAAGTGCATGTTTGGGCTGTGATCAATATTAAAGAAAGAATCAGCATACATATGTTTACCAAAAATCTTAATCGTCATTTGTATCACTGAATTCTTAACGATCAGCTCTATAATAATGCGAATAAATTATTGAGTCATTGATGGATTTTTTAGCAAGATAATGACCTGAAACACAAATTCCATGATGTTCAAAGGGACTTGGAAACTCACCTTCTGGGTCAAGTTCTTCCATAGCTATCTTATAATCTAGATCTTAATTTGATTGAAAATGTTTGGGCTATTTTAAAAAGAAAAGTTGAGATAAAGATTAAGAAAATGGTGACGCAGAAAAAAAAAATATCAATTGAAATTTTTTATAATATAATTTAAGAAGAATAGGATGATTTTGACAATGATATAATGCCAAATTGAATTATAGCATACATTGATACAGAAGGAGCACATACTAAATACTAATTAATTAATAAAAGTTATAACTATGATATTTATATTTTATTTAAAAAAATTTTAATTGGGTTTATTAATAAATCGCATGTGTTAAGTTATAAAAATTGACTGCCATTACTTTTGG